TTTAACGCATCCCACAGGTTAACGGGGCATTTTTAATAATGACGAACATTTAAATGGTATTTTTTTATTAATGCTGAACTACCCACCTACTGTAAGTAATAACCATAATACATTGCAGGTCTGCTACAAAGGAAATTGGTGTCCTTTTTAAAATTTTATTTAATGATCTAACAGTATATGAAATTTACGTTGTTTAGAAACAGAAGCATCTCCTATGTCATGTGGCGTGACTAACATCCTAAATGAGCAGTATGAGGAGAAAGTGCGTCCCTGTATCGACCTGATCGACTCCCTGCGCTCACTGGGCGTGGAGCAGGATTTGGCTCTGCCAGCTATTGCTGTTATTGGGGACCAGAGCTCAGGGAAGAGCTCTGTGCTGGAGGCTCTGTCTGGAGTGGCACTGCCAAGGGGGAGCGGTAAGTGCCCTGACCCACAAGCCCTGATGGAATCTGTCTTTCTCACATGTGGGAAATCTGTGCTGTGTGGCGTATGGAGAAGTAAATTGAGCACAGCAGCATGTTGTGTATGAAGAGCATTTTTATAACACAAACCTCATGGTCCAACAACAACCGAAAGGTAACTTAGCTTACTGGTCTGAAACAAATGTCAGTAAAAGTTATGTTAAATAACTTCATTAAACACTTCTTATGCTCATATATTGAAGTATATGATTTATACACGGCTAAAGATACGCGAGGATCGGACAGGTTTCACACAAGACAGACAAACACAAATGTGACAAAAGGAAATACAACAGGTATTACAAATGTATATTCTTTACATTTTAAACAGAATATTCTATAGAATAATCAAAAATTCTAGTAGAAAAATTGAATATCAAAACATTTGATTATATAAATATATCTGTAGTTGCACCACTACAGTTTGGGCCCATAGAAACTACCCAGACAGCATGTTTTTGTTTCAACGTTGAATTATAGTTATATACGTTGATTTTTGGTCAGATTTTCAATATTGAAAAATTGATGTTAGCAAAACCTTGATTCAGTGTTGATAACTTGATATAAGGTGAAACATTGAAGATCAACATTGTTTTAGCCTTTTTGTCTGATATGGCATCAATGTCATTTCAATATATGTGTGCTATCTGGGTATATTTTTCTGTGTATACCTGTAAGCTACAGACAGCTTCAACTTGAATCAGTGTCAGCTGAACTGTCTCTTATCTAACACACATAAAGAATGGCAAAAATGTCCATTAATCAGTTGTGTTTAAAAATATGAATTTCCTGTTATAAATTCACGAACTGTCTTCAGTTTGGTTGTAAATGTTTTATTCTTAACACAATGGTAGGGTTAGCAAATGGTTTCTCTTATATTCTGCTGAA